CTCCCCTATTCACCCTCCTTGTAATTGAGATCATCCCCGATACTGCCTCAAAAAATGGCGGCCGTAAACATGGGGAGGAAGTTGGATAGTTGGGGGCAAAGAAAGGGGACTCTACGTATGTAAACTTGTCCAGAAATTTTACAGGATTTTCACTAGCTCAAAGATTCACGTTAGCAAATCTGTGTAAATGCCATCAAAATCAAGTTACCTCCGAGACGAACAGTCCTGACCTGTTTGACATCCAATAGGGGAGGAACAGAGACTTCCTTCGGTCAGCTATTCGCCAGTGCCTGTAGTCCTTGTTACAAACTCCATTCCCCCGCCCGCCCGCCGACTGAATCTTTCTCTCTGGGAACACTGTTCAGGACTTTGGTGCCATATTTCACCCCAAACTAAGAATCGAATCACATGTCCATATCATAAGTAAAACCACCGATTTCGCCTCAGTCTCAGCTCATCTGCTTCTGAGACTCTCATCAATTCCTTTATTATCTGCAGACATCAATCCTAACGCCTCCCCTATTCACCCTCCTTGTAATTGAGATCATCCCCGATACTGCCAGTCTTCTCACTGACACCAACTCTTGCTGAGCAGGAGATAGTAGGAACTACAGATGCTGCAGAATCTGAGTTAACAAGATGTAGAGCTAGATGAACACAGCAGGCCAAGCAGCCCCTGCGACATCACACATTGTCCCACAGAACGGTCGCGCAGCGTTCTATTGCACTTTGACCTTATAAAGATGGCGCCCCTCAAGCCCGCGCTCCGTTTCCTCAAAAAATGGCGGCCGTAAACCTGGGCCTCTTCCTTGGACAAAGACCACGATCACTGAACGCGAAGCCTGAATGGTCTTATTCGGGATTTGCGACCTACACAAGGTGCTTGCGAAGTGTCTCTGCTCCGTTCTCCTATGGAGGCTCCAACACAAAAATCTCCTTACCTCCCTTTTCTGGCGCCGATCGCAGCTGCCAGAGAAAGCTACTCCATGTCTCTCAGTCCTGATAAATGTGACACTGCGCATGTCCCACATACAAACCAAACTGCGCTTGTGTCTGAGCCTGTCGTTGAATGCATAGAGAACATTCATATCCGCATTGGATTTTGGGTAAACAGACTGCCATTACCTGGCAACTTGGAACGAAGTTTCTTACTCGACTTGTATAAATCAATTGGAAATACGTAAGTCATCTCAACTGTTTCTTAAAATCTCCAATTGATTTCTAGAACGGATTTAATGCTCTACGATGTAGTGAGAATGATCGGAACTTGTAAAACTTCTCGCTTCCCTTTTTGACTGGTCCTGAAGCGTTCACACCCCGTCAATCCCCGACCCAGCCAGACAGCAGCACAGTTCTCCAGTTCCACCCCTTTGTCCCATAGGCTAAGTTTAGTTCAGACGCTACTCCGCAACTGCGCACCAGAAGTATATTAAGGGGAGAACGCGGCAATCCTCCCAAACAAAGGAATGGTGACACGGTGCTGGTGTCCCTATTCTTGGACCGAGCGGTCTGGGTTCAGTTCCTATCTGCTGCAGGGCTGTGTAATAATATCGCTATGCTGAACATGTTAACTATGAAAAACAAGAGAAGTCAAGGGAGATTTGGCTGACTGAAGGAGGCAGAGGTTGGGGATGATTGGGTCTTTCGTCTGATGGCAGTAACTTAACAATAATCCGTAGAGGTCAGTGTTGGGACCACGACCATTCACGTTAAACATTAATGGTCCAGATGAAGGAACTGAGGGGCATTGGGCAAAGACATGGCAGATGAAATTAAATGTGAGGAAAGTGTGAGGTTTAGCACTTTGGCTGGAAGAATAGAAGCACAGACTATTTTCTAAATGGGGAAAGACTTTCTAACTCTGAAGCACAAAGGGACTTTGGAGTCTCAGTTTAAGATTCTCCTAAAGGTTAACAAGTAAGTTCAGTTGACAGTTAGAAAGACAGATGTGATGGTAGCATTTATTTCAAGAGGGCTAGACAGAATAGCAGAGATATACAGCTAAGGCTGTATAAGGCTCTGGTCAGATTGTATTGGGGCTATTCTGAGCATTTTTAGGAATTTTGGGACTAGTATTTAGAGAAGGATGTGTTAGCATTGGAGAATTACAAGATCATCCTGGTTATAAAGGGCTTTTCATATGTGGAATAGTTAGAGTCATAGTGTCATTGACTTGTAAAGCACTGAAACAAACCCTTTTGTCCAAGTTGTCAATGTCGACCAGATATCTTAAAATAATCTAGTCCCATTTGCCAGCATTTAGCCCACGGTTCTCTAAACCCTTCCTCTTCGTAGTTCCCTCAGGTGCCTTTTAAGTGTTGTAATTTTATCAGCCTCCACCACTTCCTCTGGCAGTTCATTCCATGTTTGTACCACCCTCTGCATGAATAGGCTGGCCCTTAGGTTCCCCTTTTATCTTTCCCCTCACATCTTAAACCTATGCCCTCTAGTGCTGAACTCTACTAAACTGGGGGAAAGACCTTGAATATTCACCTTCTCCAGCCCCTCCTGACCTTATAAACCTCTATAAGGTCACCCCTCAACCTCTAAGCTGCAGGGAGAATAGCCACAGCCTATTCAGCCCCTCTCAAGCTCAAGCCCTCCAGCCCTGGCAACATCTGTGTAAATCTGTCGTGGTTGGTTGGCTCGCTGAACTGGTTCATTGTTCCACAGATGTTTTGTTACCCTGCTGGGTAACATCCTCAGTGCAGCTTTTTTGTTTTCCTGCCTGTCATTTAAACTCTGGTGTCTGTTGAGCTGGATTACCTCACTTCCGGTTTTCCTTCACAATGGAGCGTATATTAGGTCTAGCTCTGTGTTTATTGTTGGCTTTCTTAGTAGAGAACCAGGCCTCTAGGACTTCCTGTGCTTGTCTCTGCTTCGCCTGTCCCAGGATCTTGGTGTTGTCCCAATCAAATTGGTGGTTCTCCTTATCCATGTGGATGGAGATGAGTGAGTATTGGTCGTGTTTTTTTTGTTGCCAGTTGATGTTAGTGTACTCTTGTGGTTAATTTCCTTCCTGTTTGTCCAGTGTAATGTTTGTCACAGTCTTTGCAGGGAATCTTGTATATGATAGTGGTCCTGTCCATAGTGGGTAGTGGGTCTTTGGTTCTGGTGAGCAGTTGGTGTAGGGTTGATGTGGGTTTGTGTACTACTCTGATACCCAGTGATCGTAGGAGTCTTGTGGTCAGCTCAGATGTGTTCTTGATGTAAGGTAGCATGATGAGTGTGTCACGGCGTGTAGTATCTTCCTCGTGTCATTCGTGTAATAGGCATCTTCTGACCCAGTTTTTCAGGTATCCATTGTCTTTGAATACTTGGAAGAGGTACTCTTCTTTTTGCCGTAGTTCTATGCCGCTGCAGTGTGTTGTTGCCCATTTAAATAATGTTCTCACGCAACTTCGTTTAATAATGACGAAGGTGTCATCCACGTAGCATATCCGTAGTTTCGGTTGGATTAGCGGAAGGGCCATGCTTTCAAATCTTTGCATCACTGCTTCAGCTATTAGTCCAGAGATAGTTGATCCCATGGGTACCATTTGACGTTACTGCCCTAGTCACAACGATAGACATACCACTAGCAAGAGAAACACTGGCAACACAATAAAAACAAGAACAGGACCCTAGTGACACTACCTCCACAGATAACATGCTGAAGCTATTGGACCTATGCCTCACCAACCACTTCACCTTTAACGGCCAAATATATGAACAGATCAACAGGACACCCATGGGATCACCTATCTCTGGACTAATAGCTGAAGCAGTGATGCAGAGACTTGAAAGCATGGCCCTTCTGCTAATTCAAACAAAACTATGGATACGCTACATGGATGACACCTTCGTCATTATTAAACAGACCAAACTAGAGGAGACACACGAACTAATAAACACCCTAATCGGGATCAGATTCACCAGAGAAGAGGAAAAGAACAAACAGCTCCCATTCCTGGACGTCATGGTGGAACGCAGGACCAATGGGGAATTGCTAACAAAGTTACACAGGAAAGCCACACACACTGACCAAGAACTGAATTTCAACAGCAACCATCCTTACACACACAAACGAAGTTGTGTGAGAACATTTTTTAAACGGATAACAACACACTGCAGCAGCACAGAACTATGCCAAAAAGAAGAAGAGTACCTCTTCCAAGTATTCAAAGTATTGAATAATTGAGTCAGAAGATGCCTATTACATGAACGACACCACGAAGATGCTACATACCCTGAGACATTCATCACACTACCTTACATCAAGAGCACATCTGAACTGACCACAAGACTCCTACGAACATTGGACACCAGAGTAGCACATAAACCCACATCAACCCTATATCAACTGCTCACCAGAACCAAAAACCCCCTACCCACTATGGACAGGACCAATGTCACATACAAGATTCCCTGCCAAGACTGGGACAAACAGGAAGGAAATTAACCATAAGAGTACACGAACGTCGATCGGCAACAAAAAGACACGACCAATACTCATCTCCATCCACATGGATAAGGAAACCCACCAATTTGATTGGGACAACACCAGGATCCTGGGACAGGTGAAGCAGAGACAAGCACGGGAATTCCTAGAGGCCTGGTTCTCCAGTATGAAAGCCATCAATAAACACATAGATCTAGACCCCATATACATTCCATTGCAAAGGAAAACCGGAAGTGAGGTAATCCAGCTCAACGGACACCAGAGTTTAAATGACAGGCAGGAAAACACAATAGCACTTCAGAAAAGACTGCACTGATGATGTTACCCACAAGGGGTAACGAAACGTCTGCGGAATGACAAACCAGCTCGGCGAGCCAACCAACCACAACATCCACAGCCTGAGCTACAAATCTACTCTAAAACCTTAGAGATCTTTGTAAATCTTCTCTGTTCTGCACTCGTTTAAGTTTAACAGTATTCCAAAAGTGACCTAACCAACTTAGGACTCTGGGTCTGTATTTGATGGAGTTTAGAAGGATATTGGTTGAGTGGAGAATAGAGTTTAGAGTGGATAATCTTATTGAAATGTAGATGCCTGGACAATGTGGACGTGGAGAAAATTTTTCTGAGCAGGAGAGACTAGAACCTGAGGGTAGAGCCTCAGCCTGAAAGAAGAACACGTTATAACTGAGAGAAGGTGGATATCTTCAGCTAGAGGGACTGATTGTCTGACTGAGTGACAAATAAATTCCATGAAAACATCGCACTTGTTGGAGTTGAGAAGGGAGGTGGTATAAGACTCTGGTTAGACTACATTTGGAATATTGTGAGCAGTTTTGTGCCTCCATTCTAAGGAATGCTGTGTTGGCATTGGAGGTTTACAAGATTAATCGCAGTGATGAAGGGCTTGTCATATGAGGAGGCATTGCAGACTTTGCATCTGTACTCAGTGGAGTTTAGAACAATTAGTGAGAATCCCATTGAAACATAGAGGCTACAGAGACGCCTGGATAGAGTGGATGTGGAGAATATGTTTCCACGAGTAGGACAGACTGGAATCCCAGGGTACAACCTCAGAGTGAAAGAACGACACTTTTAGAACTGAGATAAGGAATTTCTTCAGCCTGAGGGTGGTGAATCTGTGGAATTCTGTGTCACAGAAGTCTGTGGATGCCAAGTCATTGAGTATTTTTAAGAAAGACTGTTTTTTTTTTTAGTAAGGGGATCAATGGCTAACGGGGAGAAGGCAGGAGAATGGGGTTAAGAAACAGATTAGCCATGACTGAGTGGTGGAGCTGTCTTAATGGACTGAATGGCCTGATTATGCTCTGAAATATTATGACCTTATCATCTGCACACTCAGTTTCATTTGAAGAACCAAAATTGGGGAAAGGCATAGCAGCAAAGTAGTAAATTCATTGTCACTGTTTGAGATTGAACTTTTCAGAATGAACGCTTCCCAACACCCATAAGAACTACACTCCTCCCTCTGCACTGAACGTTACTTCAACCAGTCATCCACCAATAGCTCCCAGCCTGGACTGATATTCAGCATTGTCTTATTTTGTGGTCTGCATTCCTTTTTAGGCAGGAGCAGACTTAGGCAGCAGAGCTGGGTTCTGAATCAACTATCAGCTCTATTGAGACAAAGTCAGTAGATATAAAAACAAAGTTGCTGGAAAAGCACAGCAGATCTGGCAGCATCTGTGAAGGAATAAAACAGTTAACATTTTGGGCCCAGTGACCCTTCCTCAGAACCCTTCTGAGGAACGGTCACCAGACCTGAAACATTAACTCTGATTTTTTTTCTTCACAGATGCTGCCAGACCTGCTGAGCTTTTCCAGCAACTTTGTTTTTGTTCCTGATTTACAGCATCTGCAGTTCTTTCAGTTTTTACAAAGTCAGTAGATGTTTATGTGCGGTCAGGCAAACGACAGTGATAAACTGAGACAGTAGTTTACTTGGGTTATATTGCTCATGTCAATAACTAGATAGCAGAGCTCTAAAAAGGACTTCTCGTAGCTTTTTCAGCCTCAGTCTTCAAGCTCTTTCTCTCTTGCATCTCCATCTTCTGATTCTGGTTACTCTCCATTGCATAGACATTTTAAATTTTTTTTTAATCCTTGTTCTTATCTGAATAACCCTGTCCTGTGCCCAGTTACGGTTCATATGAACAACACTCACCTCACTTAACCACGTGATGTTCTGCATTTTTGTTATTATTCTGTGTTCCTGTTTCCTCAGTGCTACTACATCTGTTGTCTTTCATTTTTACCACCATTTCACTGTTTGCTGACAAAGCAGGTTCAATAGTTACCTTTATTTTTTAGCTGTAGGAAGCCTTTTCAAACCCGACTTAAAATTCCAGGATCTCCAACTTGGCTTAATTCTGATCTATTTTCTAAGGGCTTTTTTTACCTACTGTACTGCAAATGCAAGATTCTAATGACAATCTATGTTAGCTTCTAATAATCAAATTAAATGTTAAAACTTATCTTGGTGTCAACTTCACAAAATTGCACATGAAGCCAGTGAAATTGGGAGCTGGCCCTGGAGTTGTGAGAATGGACAAGGATCGGAAGTAATTCCAATCCTTACATTTCACCTGCCTATCTAAAAAGGAAACTGAATATTTTGTCAAACTCCTCCCCTGCATAACAAGCACACACATTTGATCAATTACAGTTTGTAGTCTAGATGTTTCCAATTGCTTCTGCCTGGTGTATCCTGTAGGATGCAGCAGAGACAGAGACCGTCTTCTCAAATTCCTGTTCTCACTGCTCAGATGATTTTGGCCTTCATCCAGAGTTTCAGAGCCACAGTGGGTTGCAGTAAAGACTGTTTCACTATTCCTTGTGCAGGCCCAGACACAGCAATTGTAGCACAGATTGTTGTGGTGGATTAAAGAAGTGCTTTGTTTGGTACTCCCTCAGTTTGGGGGTGAAAATAGTGAGAAGGGGGAGTTTTGTACAGAGTTACCACTTCCTTATTCCCCCCTCCTGAAGCAGCATCTCATCACAGCCCAAAATCTACCTCAGACCTGTTTGGTGGAATTCAGTGTTGTTTTGTAAGTCCACAGCTACAAGATCTGTCATTCTGTTTAGGACAGCAGAAATCTCCTGTAGTGCTGTAGTCATGGCTTGCACGCACCCATTGCAGTGCAATGCTTCAAGCCTCATGATGCAGCCATAATCTCTGTGACAGACAGAATCTGCAACCTCTTCTGTCGTTACGAACCTATGTGCTCCCTGCACTCCTTCAATTCCCTTTTCTATGTTCCTTTTCCGACCCACCCCATGATTGGAGCTACCGAAGACACTAACCTCTTCACTTCCCTCCCTAATCCTCTCTGTCCTCATGTAAGATTTATCTTAAAATCGATCTCTAATTTTTTTTATTCATTCACGGGATGAGGGCATCAGTGGCCAGGCAGCATTTATTGCACATCTCTAATTGACAGTTAAGAGTCAAGCAGATTGCTGTGGGTGTGGAGTCACATGTAGGCCTAAAGGACATCAGTGAAGTAGATGGGCTTTTCCTGACAATCGATTCACGGTCAGCATTAGACCCTTAATTCTAGGCATTTATTGAATTCAAATCCCACCATCTTCCGTGGTGGGATTCAAACCCAGGTCCACAAAACGTTGAGATAACAAGGTGTAGAGCTGGATGAACACAGCAGGCCAAGCAGCATCAGAGGAGCAGGAAGTCTGGGTCTCTGGATGAACAGTCCAGCGATAATACCACGAGGCCATCCATCATCCGTGAGGCACCTTAGTAGATTTGAGAGTGTGAAAGGTTCCACAGAATTCAATTAGTTGTTCTTACTGCCGTACATTAGGAGAAACGTGAATGACACACTCCTTGAAGGAAAAAAACAGAGTTAACGTTTCGGGTCCGGTGACCCTTCCTCAGAACTGTTTTTTCCTTCACAGATGCTGCCAGACCTGCTGAGCTTTTCCGGCAACTTTGTTTTTGTTCCTGATTTACAGCATCCGCAGTTCTTTCGGTTTTTATGACATTCCATCCCCGCCTCAAAATGAACCATCACACTTGGAACTGACGAACATCGGCAAAAATCGGAAGAACTGCGCATGCTCCAGTTCTTATGGGCGCCTGGTGATTGATGTCAACGGGACCAATAGGATGGTAGGGGGCGGGGCTGGAGGCACGGCCTGTGACGGAAGGGTATCAAACCAATCAGAGTGAAGGAGGAGCTGGACTAAAATAAACCACGTGATCATCCTCGAGCGCGTGAAGAAGAATTGCTGTGACTGAGGTTTAGGAATGTGCGCTAGGTGCAGGACACGGTAAAGAAAGAAACATACAACAGAAAGCTGGAGGCAAGTGGTGTTAGTATGAGCTGAGAAGTTTTAGAAAAACTTGGTGCATGTCGGAAAGCACAAAATTGAATTTCCCAGTCCTGTGTTTGCAGCAAACGGGAAAATGCCTCAGATGGTGATAGCCTGGGTGAGCGCCGCCATCTTTATTGGGGGTAATGATCTGCGAAACACATGCGTAGCCGCCGACTTTGTGATTGTGAGATAACAAGGTGTAGAGCTGGATGAACACAACAGGCCAAGCAGCAAAATTTTCTGAAGAAGGGTCTAGGCCCGAAACGTCAGCCTTCCTGCTCCTCTGATGCTGTTTGGCCTGCTGTGTTCATCCAGCTCTACACCTTGTTATCTCGGATTCTCCAGCATCTGCAGTTCCTACTATCGCTGAAACGACTTTATGATTGAAGCTCCCCGTCCCCACACAGCACAGCGGGACGCATGCGTAGCGATCCCCGCCATTGTAGGATTCACTTCTTCTACACTTTGATGACCACTTTGCGAATATCTAGCTTCCTCAGTCTCTCATAATGAGTATATGTTAGCTCTGTTTAGTATTTTACTATTACATTCACAGACCTTTTGTAAATGAGTTTTGCACAGTTGCCCACCCCCTGACCATGTGCTGCTCCCTTTCCAGATTCGTGCGGCGGGAGCAGTCGGGAATGTGAGGTTTGGCTTATAAAATCTGGCCTGGTGATTCGAGCAGTAGGAGAGGTGAGAGCGCGGGCCGGGAAGTGAACTGTTATATTCGGGCATTGTCTAATTTTTTTTGTTTCCCTTGTTTTGCCTTTTTTGGGCTGGAAGCTGTCGGAGGGAGGAAAGTATCAACACATTTAATTAAATTTAATTCTAATAAATTATAGTTAATTACTTTATTAATTTATAAGTAGAAATGGCTGGACAGGTGATGTGTTGTAGATGTGTGATGTGGGAGCTGGCTGATCCCATTGCGAACTGCAGTGACCACATCTACAGCAAGTGTAGGTTGCTCAAAGAACTTTGGCTCAGAGTTGATGAGCTGGAATCGGAACTTCTAATACTGTGGCACATCCGGGAGGGGGAAAAGTACCTGGATGATTTGTTTCAGGAGGCACTCACACCTGGTAGATTAAGTAATTCAAATTTGGTCAGTGGCCAGGGACAGCAGGGTGTGTCTAAGCGAGCCAAGTAGAGGGATCTTGCAGTCAGGAACAGAGGAGCCTCAACTCTTGATCTTGTCCAACAGGTACGAGGTACTTGCTCTCTGTGTGGATGAGGAAAAGGGCTGGATGAGCAAACTGACCACTGCACCATGGTATGGGAGGCCATTCAGCAGTGGGGAGCAAAATGACAAGTGGTAGTTGTAGGGGATTCAATAATTAAGGGGATAGATAGTATCCTTTGTAAGCAGGATCGAGAGTCCCGCATGGTGTGTTGCCTGCCCGGTGCCAGGGTAGTGGATATCTCTGACCGGCTTGAAAGGATATTGGAGCGGGAGGGGGAGGATCCAGTTGTTGTGGTCCACGCTGGAAGAAACAATATAGGAAAGAGGACCTATTCAGAGATTATCAGGAGCTGGGAACCAAATTAAAGAACAGGTCCTCGAGGGTTATAAGCTCTGGATTACTGCCTGAGCCACGTGCTAATTGGCATAGGGACATGAGAATAAGGGAAGTAAACATGTGGCTAAAAGAGCGCTGCGGAAAAGAGGGGTTCCTTTTCATGGGGCACTGGCATCAGTATTGGAACAGGAGCGATCTGTACTGCTGGAACGTCTCCACCTGAATCGAGCTGGGACCAATGTTCTAGCAAGAACGGTAAATAGGCTGGTCAACAGGACTTTAAACTAGAAAGTGGGGTGGAAGGGAATGGTGAAACTTGCCCCAGTGGGAAACAAAGCAGCAGGTTAACATCTAGTGGTGGATTCAACTAAGTGGAAAAGTACGAAAGAAATGACCGGGAAGGAGCGCTCAGGAGAGGTGATTAACGCCTCAAGCACAGAAACAAATAGGACAGTGTTTGGAAAAGGGTAGCAATCAAACACTGGAAAAACGAATGAAAATGAGAAGAGGGAGGGTTAATACTGGACTGAAGGTGTTATATCTGAATGCACGCAGTATAAGGAATAAGTTTAATGAGTTTGTGGCGCTGATCGAAACTGGCAGGTATGACGTGGTAGGCATCACGGAGATGTGGTTACAAGGGGATCAGGATTGGGAACTGAATATCCATGGATATACATCCTATCGAAAAGATAGGCAGGTGGGTTGAGGGGGTGGGGTTGCCTTATTAGTGAAAAATGAAATTAAATCAGTAGGAAGAAACAAAGTAGGGTCAGATGGTGTAGAATCTGTGTGGGTAGAATTGAGGAACCACAAAGATTAAAAAAAAACCATAGGTGGGGTTGTGTACAGGCCTCCAAACAGTAGTCAGGAGCTGGGGCGCAAGATACACCAAGAGATAGAAAAGCTGTGTAAGAAAGGCCAAGTCACAGTGATCATGAGGGATTTCAATACGCAGGTGGACTGGGGAAATCATATTGGTAGTGGATTGCAAGAAAAAGAGTTTGTGGAATGTCTACAAGATGGCTTTTTGGAGCAGCTTGTGGTGGAACCCACAAGGGAACAGGCAATACTGAATTTAGTGTTGTGTAATGAGGCAGACTTGATAAGGGAACTTAAGATAAAGAAACCCTTAGGAGGCAGTGATCATAAGATAATAGCATTTACTCTGCAATTTGAGAGGGAGAAGATAGAATCAGAGGTAATGGTATTACAGCTGAATAAAGGCGACTATACAGAGGTATGAGGGAGGAGCTGGGCAGAATTGACTGGAAGAGGAGCCTAGCAGGAAAGAAGTGGAACAGCAATGGCAGGAGTTTCTGGGAGTAATTCAGGAGACGCAGCAAAAATTCATCCCTAGGAAAAAGAAGCATAATACAGAGAGGATGAGGCAACCATGGCTGACCAAGGAAGTCAGGGATAGCATAAAAGCAAAAGAGAAAGCATATAATGTGGCGAAGGGCAGTAGGAAGCCAGAGGACTGGGAAGCTTACAAAGACCACAGGGCAACAAAAAAAATCAGGAAGGAGAAGATTAAATATAAGGGTAAGCTAGCCAGTAATATCGATGAAGACTGTAAGAGGTTCTTTAGGTATATAAAGGGCAAAAGTGGACATTGGACCACTGGAAAATTACACTGGAGAGATAGTAGTGGGGAACAAGGAAATGGCTAAGGAACTGAATAATTACTTCATGTCAGTCTTCATGGTGGAAGACACGTGTAATCTCCAAAAATTCAAGAGAGTCAGGGGGCAGAGCTGAGTATGGTGGCCATCACCAAGGAAAAGGTGCTAGTAAAACTGATTGGCCTGAAGGTGGATAAATCACCTGGACCAGATGGACTACACCCCAGAGTTCTAAAGGAGATAGCTGAAGAGATAGTGGAAGCATTAGTGGTGATCTTTCAGGAATCGCTAGAGTCAGGTAGGGTCCCAGAGGACAGGAAAATCGCTAACATGACACACCTATTTAAAAAGGGAGTAAGGCAAAAGACGGAAAATTACAGGCCGATTAGCCTAACCTCGGTTGTCGGTAAGATTTTGGAGTCCATTGGAAAGGATGAGATTTCTGAATATTTGGAGTGTATACTAAAATAGGGCAAAGTCAGCACGGTTTCGTCAAGGGGAGGTCATGTCTGACAAATCTGCTAGAATTCTTTGAGGAAGTAATGAGCAGGGTAGACCAAGGAGAGCCAATGGATGTTATCTACCTGGACTTCCAGAAGGCCTTTGATAAGGTGCCACACAGGAGGCTGCTGAGTAAGATAAGGGCCCATGGTGTTAGAGGCAAAGTGCTAGCATGGATAGAAGATTGGCTGTCTGGCAGAAAGCAGAGAGTGGGGATAAAGGGGTCTTTCTCAGGGTGGCAGCCGGTGACAAGTGGTGTTCCGCAAGGGTCAGTGCTGGGACCACAACTTTTCACTTTGTACCTTAATGATCTTGATAAAGGGACTGAGGGCATTCTGGCTAAGTTTGCAGACGATACAAAGATAGGTGGAGGAACAGGTAGTATTGAGGAGGTGGCGAGGCTGCAGAAGGATTTGGATAGGTTTGGAGAGTTGGCAAAGAAGTGGCAGATGGAGTACAACGTGGGAAAGTGTGAGGTCATGCACTTTGGTAAGAAGAATAAAAGCATGGACTATTTTCTAAATGGGAAGAAAATTCAGAAGTCTGAAGTGCAAAGAGACTTGGGAGTTCTAGTGCAGGATTCTCTCAAGGTAAACTTGCAGGTTGAGTCAGTAGTCAGGAAGGCAAATGGAATGTTGGCGTTTATTTTGAGAGGACTTGAATATAAAAGCAGGGATATACTACTGAGGCTTTATAAGGCTCTGGTCAGGCCACATTTGGAGTATTGTGTGCAGTTTTGGGCCCCATATCTCGGGAAGGATGTACTGGCCCTGGAGTGGGTTCAGAGGAGGTTCACAAGAATGGTCCTCGGAATGGAAAGCTTAACATATAAGGAACATTTGAGGACTCTGGGACTATACTCATTGGAGTTTGGAGGTTTCCTCCCACAATCCAAAGATGTGCAGGCTAGGTGGATTGGCCATTCTAAATTGCCCGTAGAGTTCAGGGATGTGTAGATTATGTGGGTTATAGGGGGATGGGTCTGGGTGGGATGCTTCAAGGTTTGGTGTGGACTTGTTGGGCTGAAGGGCCTGTTTCCACACTGTAGAGATTCTATGATGAGGGGAGATCTAATTGAAACTTGCAGAATACTGAATGGTCTGGACATAATGGATGTTGGGAAGATGCTTCCGTTGGTAGGAGACTCTAGGACCCGAGGGCACAGTCTTAGAGTAAAGGGAAGACCTTTTAGAATGGAGATAAGGAGAAACATCTCCAGCCAGAGAGTGGTGAATCTATGGAATTCAATGCCAGAAGGCTGTGGAGGCCAGGTCATTGAGTACATTTAAGACTGAGATAGATAGGTTCTTGATGATCAAGGGTTACGGGGAGAAAGTGGGAGAATGGGGTTGAGGAACTTATCAGCTATGATTGAATGGCGGAGTAGACACTATGGGCCGAATGGCCTAATTTCTGCTCCTATGTCTTATGGTCTTATTTGTTTTCCCACTGTATCTTTCACAGTCAGGAGTTCCTTTTCCAGTTAGAGTCCATATACCTATAGTTTCTGACCATAGCATTCTGCACCATTTTCATTCCCTCCAATTCATTTTGCACTACCTGAAACATTACCTCAGTTTCTTCCTCTAGAGATACCATTGGCAAAGCCTTGTTGCCTGTGGAAAAGGTGATGTTTGACCTTGCTGTACTGCTGCAGTTCGTGTGATAAAGCTGCTCCCACTATGTGGTTAGGTAAGAAGTTCAGATCATTCAACCAGCAATAGTGAAGTGTTGATGATGTATATATGTTCAAATCAACACAGTTTGTCTTTTTAATATTTTTATAATTTCACCAAAATATTATCAAAGAACTTTCAACATAAGGCCAGAGATGTAAATATTATGTCAGGAGACTAAAAGCGTTACCAAACAAGTTGGTTTTCAGGAATATCATAAAAGAGGAAAGCAGACCTGAGAGGTTTGGCGTGTTGCCTTGGCAACTGTAGAAGTAGCCACCAAAGGTGAAACAATGAATAGAATCATTGGAGTCTGAAACTAAATGAGTTGTCAAGGTCTCAAAGTTTGTGTAGGGATGATCGCAGCCAGG